AGATTCATATACAAAAATCTATGCAAAGGATGTGGTGTCTCCTGGAGAAGAATCTCCCTCCAAGCTCCGCACGCCAAACCAGATTGCATACCAGAAAACCTCAACTCCCAGTAGCGGTGATTTGCCCTTCCCAGCCAGTGGGAGCTGCGGGAAGCACTGTGGGCCGAAGGACATGCTGGTTACCACTTCCTGCCACTCCTGTTGGCTGAGAACGGCAAACCACTGGGAGCTGAGGCGCTCTGTGCTTGCGGGCACTCCGGGTATACAAAGTGTCCCAGTGTGCCAGCAGCTTACCTGATGAGCTGGGAATGGAAGTTTGTCAACCCCTGACGTGCAACAGCAATGTATACGTGTTGATAAGCCAACACTGCTCTTTGATGCGTCCCTTCATTCACTTACTTTGTACATCTAGTTAAAACACAAGGACAAAAGCAATAAGGTTTGTCTGGAAAGATCTGATCTTTGTAAACCTATTCTCCTTGTTCTTGCTTCTGTCACCTTTCATTAACCCCCCTCTTCAGTATTAGTGCCATTATTTTATTAAGGACAGGAATTAGATCTATGGAGTAGTAGTTGCTAGAGCATAGTAATTTGCCTTTTACAGGCTAGTGCTTTGTTGGCTTTTCCTTGTTCTTCTGGCACTTTTATTTCTTCTCAGAAATAATGACCAGTGGTACAGTAATTTTGATAATTCTCCAACAAATGAAGATTCATTAGAAGTTCTTTATCCATCTAAGAAGCCCATATCCAACTCCATTGTTTAAAGTCTGACACCAAATATTTCCACTCTACCCAATCAAAAGCTTTTTCATGTTATAATACTAATAATACCAGATGTCAGTGCATCCTAATTTTAAGTAATCATCCAGAGTGTCTTAATGTAGTTATATAATTACTAACACAGGCTGCAATCTACTTATTTTGCAAGCTTGCAAATTTTATATAAAATAAAGCATGTGTGTGTGAAAGAGACAGACTCATTCATCAGCCCTTAGGTTTAAACAAAGCAGTTGCGGCTACAGGAGCATTCTTCTCCATTGAATGGGAAGCTCTAGGCTCAGAACCGGCCAAGATAATTAAGGACCCTAGGCAGGTTAGGAGGGCAGCCCCCCGGGGCTGATTCTCCCCTTTTTGTTTTCAGTGGGAAACACAAGATTGCAATGTGGGAAAGGCCCATAGAGAAGGAAGGGGGAAAAGAGGTTCAAGAAGCCTCCCTGATTCCTTTTTTTTTTTTTTTAATTAAACATCTTTAAAGTTACAGAGCAAAGCTATTCAGGAGTCCTGAAGCACCTTAAAGACTAACAGATTTATTTGGGCATAAGCTTTCGTGGTGTGGTTTAAAGTAAAAGGTTCGGAAATGTGGCTAGTCCCAGGGAGGCGCAGAAACAGGCAAACTATTACTAAATATCTTTTAAACTTTTATTAGAATACTTCCAATTATAGTTTTTCTTTATTAGTCTCTTACATGCGTGGCCGCCAAATAACTATTACATACGTAGGCACCAAATAATTATTAGAATGACCAATAAGCAAAATGCAATACAGTAAAGAAAATTCTTTGAGGTTTCTCTAAATCCCAATAGTTGATAACAAGGGACTAGGGATTATTAACAGTTACATTTACATCAGTCTTACTTATAAGACTAATCATTTATCTAAAACTTTTAACACTACTACTTAACAATACCTCTAAACAATTTCAGATAACAATACTTACATTTAACAGACACACAAACTACAACAATAACAACATATTTGGTATTCATTATGTTTGGTATACGTTACGCTCTACAGGAACTCGTTTGGTTCGGTGAGCGGGAGGTGGCCCTCGGGTGATCAGTCCTCGGACCCGGCTCATATTCTGCCATTCAATGTTTATTCGGGATTCCTCCATTTGATACAGGAAGCTGTTTTATAGAGAAAGCTTTTGCGCGCTTTTGTGATAGGCTAGCAGACCCTGTCTGTTAAGTGACACGAGTAAGGGGGTGAGATGGTTTCCTGTTTTTCCTTTTCTGCCTTATCATGCATGGCACAGTCAGCAAAACCAGCACGAACTTTACATGAACTTTTCAGGTCTGGTTTTGGTTCCTGTTCGTTGCTGACCTTTAAGTTACATAGTGTAAGGGTTTTCATCAAGGGGAAGTTGACCTTTTGCTTAGATGGCAATACGCGCGAGAGGCCTGGCCAGCAAAGAGCCTGCTTCCACACGTGGGAAAAGATGAAAACTTATGCCCAGATCTGTTAGTCCTTAAGGTGCCTCAAGACTCCTTTGTTGTTTTTGCAGATACAGACTAACATGGCTACTCCTCTGATACTTGTGTCAGTGCAGGTTGGCATCTTTGTGATATCCAATAATTCTCTTTTAATGAGGTAGAGTGGGTAGCTCCAAGCACATCCAATCCATCCATCCTATTAGATGTCTTGCCTTGGAAGAAGCCGTGTGTGTGTGTGTGTGAGAGTGAGAGTGAGAGAATTTATTTGAGTTGCTGAGACCTTGGCCTGTACATTTATAACATGGTTTAACAGGAAATAGGTCACCCGGCTGATCTAATAATATATTCTTCCTGAATTGGTTGCTTCTTTCATTAGTGCTGAAAGCTTTATCCCAGTTGTTAAATGTCCATCAGGCTTATTCACACTCATTTGATGTAGTTCCATAGATAATTTTAAGATGGGCATTGAGGGCCACTGACTCCAGTGGAAGCAGAAGGTTGGGGAGGGTTTTCATTTGACAAAAGATAGGAAATCACAGTAAAAATGTATCCAAGTATCACAGTGAAGCACGTGCAATCCAGGAGACACCAAAGCAGAGTTTACCCATGACACCTGAACTCTGTCCCCGTGTGTGTCTGCCTTATAATATAGTCTTCAGTGGCACAGCTACAAAACATCCATTTCACAGGCCCCCTGCTCTATCCAGGTATTGCAACAGGTTGGACTCACCACAGTGGCGCCTCCTGCTGGTCTCCCAGGCAGTTAGCTTTGGCCAGCTCCAGGACATCCTGCTCTGGTGGTGTCTTGCTCACAGTTACCTACCCTTCCCAGCTCCTCTGTGTCAGAACCTCTCCCTGTGTTCCCTCCCCCCCCCACACCATGACATCCCAGCCCCTGGTACTGCTCTCTGGCGGTGGCCACTCTCTGGGTTCCTCCCCTTTGGGGAATGATTATCCCATATCCCACCACCCACCTCAGCAGCAAAACTGCTGTCATTTGTCTAGCACCTTGGCCAACTGCCAGCTGTTACTGGCCATGCTCATTGCTGGTGGGGGGGGTGCGGAAGGGGAGGGGGACGACAGCTGCCTCTTTTTTTCCCCTGGCTGACCTTCTGCAGCCTAGTACCCTTGGGTCCCTTAGGACATGAGCCCCCCCAGTTAATCAAGCCGGAGCTTTGCCAGGTCCCTAGCTTCGCCCATCACTGCTCTGTCCATGGTACTAGTCTCTGTTAGGCAGCTTAGTCCTGAACTCTCTCTTTTGGCTTGTTTTATACAGCCAGCTGGGCCCTGATTGGCTACCTTAAACCTTGCCCTGATTGGTTGCCTGAAGCCTTGTCCTGATTGGCTCCTAAAACAGCCATTTCCCAGGGCTGTTTTTAATCCCTTTTATTCCAGTGCATAGCAATCGCCGCATCACAGGTACAAATACTGGATGATGAGCAGTGAATGACACCCGGGGTAACATTTAAATTGAAATAACATTAGAACAGAAGCAAAGAGGAAAGCAGCATGCTATACAGTTGTCTTCAATATTTTATGTATTTCAAATTAATGTAGTTCTAAAAATTATTTCAAATGCAGTGGCTACCAGTGTATGCATCGTTTGTCCTGTTTCTGGTCACTTTGGTTGAGGAAATGTAAAAACTAATGACCTATCCCTCGTGTACACTTGAAAATTAGGTTAGATTAGCTGCATTGGTTAGGGATGTAAATTCATAGCCCTGAGCAGCATAGTTAAGGCAACCTAAGTACCCATGTAGACAGCACCAAGGTAGTGGAAGAATTTTTCTGCCAACCTAGCTATGGGAGGCAGATTACTTAGATCAGTGGGGAAATTCTCCTGACAGTGCAGGTAGTGTCTACACTGAAGTGCAGTTCCATTCCAGCATGTTAAGTGTACACAAATCCTCTGTGTGTTGATAGAGTAGGAAGGAACCATTTATGGCAAGGATGTAAAGACACCTGGTTCCTTTTTACTGCTGCAAGTAACATGCAATCAGTCAGTCAACAACGGCGGTGTAGCTCAGTTACATCACTTGTCAGTTTTCACAATTGGCGGTGTGCAATGTGGGGAGGAAGGATCATCTTTTGGTTTTTTGTTCTGTTGGTGTTGATGTGGGACAGAAATAGGATTCTGTAGGTTTACATACTTTATTTGCTTAACTTTAAAGTCTACTTATCAGCACACTTATCTCACATAACTATAACAAGTTCCAGTATGTGTTTAATATACCTTGGTTATAAAACACTAGAATGATGTGCAATTTAATGTAAATATTGTTTTTTGTTTTTCTTGATATACAGATAATTGTGGACCTGGAACAGGATTTGACTAAAAAAAGAAAAGCAAAACTGTCACCAGTGCCAGAAAATGGAAAGAAAAAGAAAATGGCAGTCAAATCATCCATCAATCCAAGCGTGGAAAACAATAGCACTAGTCCTGTAATACTTAATGAAAGTATTTCACCCACACCAATCTTATCACAGCAGAAAAATTCCACATCCTCTACCAGATCTTCTCTTGGGAGGAACTCTGAGCAAGACCCATGTGTTCAAGATAACCAAGTTCAGGACACATGCTGTGTAGCTTTAGATTCTTCTGAAGGAGATGGTTCGACTAGTGAAAGTTCTTTTAGAGAAGATACTTTTCCTTTGACTCCACTGGACTTGGATGAAACAATCAGGGATGAAAAAATAAAACGACTGAAACGGCTTTTGAGAGAACGAGAGGCAGAACTGGAAAAGATTCGTAAAAAGATGCAGCAGACCTGAAAAATCTAATCATCTGGACCCTATTCATTTTGACTCCCTTGACTTTAGTGACTTAAACAAGAGAATAATTTGACTTACTGCCTCTGAATGTTTAAAATGAACTTAGAATCTAATCGAATTTCCTGACATGCACAGGACATTCATGGGTGCATGTATATAGGGGAGAGGAATCCCCATTGGTAAGGAACGTAAGAATTGAATTGTCCAGAATTCTACTTTTGGGGAGCCCATCTGTGTAAAAATATTCATGGTGCAGAAGAAACACCATTTTAATTCTCAGTACAATGTATTTTCTTGTGTTTATAGTAAGAGCTTTCTGTACTAGTGCTAGAAACTTCTTGTGCTTTGGAATTTCAAGTCCTGGAATGTGAATCGCAATCCTCAATTGTAGATTTTGTTTTTCTTATTATTATTATTTAGTGCATGCTTACTTGTGAATTACAGGAAATAAACTAAACATTCAGTTGACCATTTAAGTATTGAAATAATGCTTCAATAAAATTATTTGATCTAGTCATGAAATTTTATACAATAAAAATTGTACAATAAAAAAAGGAATGATTTATTTATAGACACCTTTGTGCTCTTCTGAAGGAAGAGCAAGATCTAGATGGCATAGCAAACAATACCATTGGTTACTGTTGGGACTAATGCAGATCTTTTAGCTATAATGAAATGGAGGGCATTTGTCACCTTGATATCAGTGTCTTTCACGAGAGAGAGAGTATGCACTTAGTTTTCTTTGAAAACCGCAGACCGTAATCGGGCCTGTTATTTAAGAAATCATTTAGCCCAATGGCTGCTGCAATTTATTGTTGCTACCATGCACATCCCCCCCTTCTCCATCGGGGCATGTGGAAGGAGGGGAGGAAATGTAACTCAGGTTAGTCTTGGTCACAGTGGATCTTGAAGCTATCTCTGGGCTGGTGTAGGATCTTCTGATGTTCTGCTGAGATCCGTGTCTAAATTCAAACTATAACCCGAAATACAACCAAGGCGCTGCTTAAGTCTGTGTCTGTAAGAAGCCAATGGCAGAAGCCTGGGCCTGTTTCTTAGAAGAATGTACCTCCAGCTTCCTCCTGGAGACAGTGAGCTCAGGCTTTCAGCAAGAACCTTCTCCAGTGTACGAGTGACATGAGGGCTCACAGGCCACAGGAAGGCTGACTTCAGAATGGGAGACTGCAAGACTAGACTTGAACTGAGGCAAAACAGTGGTGCTTCCAAACACAAACTGCAAGCCACTTGAGAGATCAAAGTGAAGTAGTCAACTGTACGGATGTTCCAAAGATGTTCATGTTCATAGGTGCTTTGACTTTCTCTTCATGCGGTGCAGAGTCAATGCTGGGCTCTGAAATTAGCTGTCTAGTGGGAGGGTGTGACGGGGGAGCAGGCCCTGCACTGCAGAGCTGGGAGTAGCCCAGGCCCAGCTGGCTGAGAGGGCCCCGCCCTTACAGCCCTGCTGGGCATGCTCCCAGCAGAGCCAGTATATAAAGGCTGAGGGAGCACAGCAAGGGAGGAGGCAGCCTGAGAGTAGGAGGGCTCAGGCTGCAGCCCTGGTGTTCCTGTGGTAGCTGAAGCCTGAGCCAGAGTGGTAGGAAGCAGCCCAGGGCAAGGACTTGCAAACTCTGCTTGGTGTGTATTGGCTGGATTCCCCACCGAGCAGGCAGGAGCAAGAGTCCCTGCCTACAGGGCCCTGGGCTGGGACCCGGGGGAGAGGGAGGGCCCGGGTCCCCCCACCATCCTTTCCCCTGCCCTGGACAATCAACCCCTGATCCAGGCTTTCCGCAACCAGGGCAAACGCACTGGCTGGGAGAGGCTTTTTCCAGAGCTAGGCCGCAGGTACCATATATGCCCTGATAGAGGGGCCTGGACTTGTTAATTCTGGGAATACCGTATTTGCCCTGAGAGAGGGGCCGAGACTTTTGGGGACTTTGGGTACTGTAAATGCCATGAGAGAAGGGTCCGGACCAAGACATGGGCCCGTAGAAGGGGGCCGCAACCCGTTAGGGGTGTACCCCCTGACAACTTGGTGGAGGATGCGGGCGGTTGAGCACCCCTGAACCGAGGGGATAACTGGGTGCCTAATAAAACAAGACAGGGAGTTAAAGCCAGCAGGAAGTAAAGACATTGAAAATATTTCTGCAAAATCATGCCAGTCTAGATGCAGCCCTTATGTTTAAGAAATTACCATTGTTTGAAAGCTATGCATGAGCCTGCTACAATTAAGCAGAGAAGAAAATAGCTACAGGTAATATATTTTACAATGACCTATCTCATTGGTGAAATCTCAATCACTAAAACAAAAATCCTGGGTGATTGTATTGATTTTAGATGTGAGCTCTCCTCAGCATGTTTTCTACTTACACCTAGCCGGTGTTGGCAGCTGGCTTGTGTCTTTGTGCGTTCTTTCCACGCGCTGTCCAGTTTTGCACAGATAGACTGGAATAGCACTATCCAGCATGGGTAAGTGCTGAGGCTGGAATGTTGTTGCCTTAATAACGCTTCTCCAGGCAGCTGAGTGCTCCTTACAGCAGGTAACGCATTCAGCAGACCTTGCCAGTCTTCGTAAAAAAACCACTCCCGGCACAGTTCTGTGACACAGCCATTCAGCCAGGTTTACTGCCATCAAGAGACAGCGTCAGCATCCTGGCTCTGTGGTTACAGGTATGCTAACACGAGTGTCCCATGGCAGGTTTAGCAGCAGTACTTTCTGCTGTCCCCTCAGCTGAACAGAGAATTAGGGTAAAATACCCCAACATTTAAAGGCTAAACCAAATCACTACGGCTGTGTCCAGACTCAGGGTTTTTTTCTGGAAAAGTAGCCTTTTTCCGAAAAAACGTCACCTGCGTCTAGACTGCAGCCGCATTCTTTCGACATTAAATCGAAAGAATGCGGCTTTTCTTTCGACGGTGGTAAACCTAATTCCACGAGGAAGAACGCCTTCTTTCGAAAGTGCTCTTTCGAAAGAAGGCGTTCTTGAAAGCAAACAGGCTTTTTAGAAAGAGAGCATCCAGACTCACTGGGTGCTTTCTTTCGAAAAAGTATCTTTCGAAAGGGCCTCTTTCAAAAGAGGCTTGCAGACTAGACATAGCCTACCATACACATCTTACCCCCCACCTTAGGTATTTCATGACATGTTTGTTACCTCCCCTTGTTCCTGACATGTTGGACAAAACATCCCTATCCATTGTTTTGTCAACATCTTGTACAAGTTTGGGATGTATCTGTGCTAGCCCTAGAATAGATTTAGAGAAATGTCTAGTGCCTTGCACGTTAGCAACAGCTTTACCAAGTTCACATATTGGACAGTGAACTTGTAAGCATCTGCTTTCAAACATGGCCGGGTTTGGTTTGCACCCCCCATTGTGCTAGCTACTGTACAAGATAAGACAGACAGTCCCTGCTCCCAAGGAGCATACATCTAGAATATATTTGTTGCCAGATGTGGCTAGCATGGACGAACGGGGAGGGAGTTTGCAGAATGCAGAGCACATGCAACAGTGATTGTTCCAGAGGGAATATTCGGACAGGACTGTGCATAGGGGCAGATATGTAATGGGAGAGGGTGTATATGGGACAGACATCCCATGCGGGAAGCCTCCGGAGGAGGAGGGGGAGGGCAGATTTCCAACAAACGAGTATGCCTAAAAAGGTGCATTTATCCTAGAGGGGTAAGTTTGGGGATGAGTGTTTCATGGGTCACCTGAGTGAGGTGAGTATGGGAGCAGAGGTCTCATGGGTGAGTGGGCAGACCAGACTCCTAATAGAGGATATGCATAATGGGAAGGGTGTTGTGTATAGATGCAGGCATGTTGCGCCAGGGATGGCACTGGGAATTTGCATGCAGAAGTGGGTGCCTCAAGGGCATCCTGGGACATGGGATTATGTTGGTGGGAGAGATGTACGAGATGCCCAGGAGTCTCATGAGGTGGTGGGAAGCTATGACCACTGGAGCAGGTGAATCTTAAGGGGGAATGCCTTTGAGAGTGTGTCTCACGGGGAGGTGCAGGTGCCTCATGGGGATGGAATAGCAGAGCTGATGTTTCAGGAAGGGATTGTTTCTCTGGGAGGGGGAAACTGGCATGTGGGTGTCCCAAAAGGAGAAAGCAGCCGGGGCCATCTCCCACAGGATGGTCATGAAAGAGTACAAGAACAATGTCTCGGTGGAATGTCCTGGGGAGAGCCCATGTGAGCAGCAATGGAATTGTGGATATCTCCCATGCAAACCATGCATGCAATGGAGGTTTTTCATGGTGGCATGTGCATGGGATGGGCACATAAGGAGGAAGGGAAGAGTGAAACAGCCACCTCCTGCTGCTGCCCACTCGGATGCTCCTCTTGTGCTGCAAACAGCAGTTGCAGTGGGGACCATGGCAGATGTCACCTCTGGCTTCCCCCAATCCTGACTGATCTGGAAAGATACTCAGCTCTGACCCCACTTTTCTGTGAACATTCACATGGGAATTGTGGAGCACAGAAGGTCATCCTCTGGCAAGAGGTTCTGGGTTGAAAGGCTTGCAAACAGCTAACAGGCCCTTTGCTGTTCCTCCTTCCAGACTACCTGTCTACCCAGTACCAGGGATTCATTATGACTGACATCTCTTCCAGCTACAGCTGAAGATGGGGTGGTGAGTGAAAGTGAGAAGAAGAATCTTTACCACAGCTGTCCTGCAGTATTCCCGCTAACATTTTCTATCCTTGAGTGGGTTGAATTTTCTTTTGGGCAGGTTGAAATTCTTAAATATATAACAGTCCATAGGTGTGGAAGAAAGTATATTAAAACAAAGGATAGTTAACAAGCAGCAATGCTTATGATATTTACTAGAAAATCAGATAAAAAAGAAAATGAACACCACCCTTGGAGTACATGTATTATCATCCTTTGTAATAACTTAAGCTAGTAAATACACCAGAATGCGTATTATCCACACGACTTAGCTTTAAGATACTAAACAAATCTGAGTCCACTAGAAATAGTCATGTTCTTCTTGCAAATACTAATATATAGTATTTACTGACACTGGAAAGGTGTGTAAAAGGCATTCAAAAGGCTTATACAGTTTCTCTGGGGAATGTGTAGGATCCATGTTATACAAGAATAAGTGAAACAGAGACCTGTAAAATTGAAGTTCTCCTGGTTTGAAACTTTCACCTTGTTTGTGTCATCAACTCAAAGAGTGGAAAATTAACACACGGCTTCAGGGTTTGTAGACAGATGCATGTTTCAAAGAGCTTGCAAATAAGGTTTCATCCTACAAAACAACTAGCATCACACTTAGTACTTGCTACTTCTGACTCATAAGAGCCAGAACTCTACCACATAGCAAAGATCTGGCCTTAATGCTCTACAATATACCATGTATTAATTACTAACTGAAGCTTTGCCCACGAAAGCTTATGCTCCTACACTTCAGTTAGTCTATAAGGTGTCACAGGTCTCCTCGCCGCTTTTGCAGATTCAGACTAACACGGCTCCCCCTCTGATACTTGACATGTACTAATTAGTACAGAAATTTTTTAAAAAATTACTAAGATCAGAGTTTAGATACCTGC